GGAACAAAAGAACAGCAAGGTATTTTTTTTTCCTAAAAAATCATGCATATTAAATTTTATTTATTTAACAATCTTACTTTTAATTTTTAAGACGAATGGATGGATGATGTTCTAAATTGGAGAGTTATTGGATGCTATGCTATGGTAATGTTTATAATGACCATATGATAGTAGATGCAATTCATTAAATTAATTTTTTTTATACGATTTATTTTTTAGACTGAATTGGGTCACAGGTTTGTATTTTCATATGTAAATTTGGTGTGCAGTTATCATCAATGAAAACTTACTATAATTTAATAGTTCTTTTATACGTGGCTTAGAAACTACTGCAACATACGATAGAGTTCATGATGAATTTATTATCAACACTCCAACTTTAATGAGCACAAAATGGTATTGCACGTGTTTAAATCAAATCTTTATAATAATATCATTTAATAAATATAACCATTTTTGTTACCAGGTGGATAGGAATGGCGGGCCAGGTATTTAAAACTTTATATTTTTTTTAAAAAAAGATTCTTTATATTAATTATATTTATAAATCTATTTTTCTCAGACAGCTACACATACTGTTGCAATATGTCAAACTATAATTGATTCAAAAAGTTACGGCATTGATTGGTTTATAGTCCCGTTGCGAGACCGCAAAACTGGCCAATTACTTCCTGGAGTTACAGCTGGAGATATTGGAGCAAAATATGGTCGAAACGGTCTAGACAATGGATGGATACAATTTTCAAATGTTCGTATTCCAAGAAAGAACATGTTAATGAAATGGTCGAAAGTAACCGAAGATGGAAAATATATACCACCAAAAAATCCTGCAATTGCTTATACGACTTTAATTGGCGAACGATTAACAGTTCTAAAAGGCACACAAAATGCTTTGGGAAGGGCGTTGACTATTGCTTGTAGATATGGTTGTGTTAGACGTCAGGGTGCTGATAATATACAAATTATGGATTATCAAACTCATTACGTTAAACTTGTTCCCTGCGTTGCTACCATTTATGTTATTAATATTGTGGATAGGTAATCTTTATTTTATCATATCTTTTATATCTTTAAAAATTATTATTTTTTTATGTTTTTGATCAATAAAATTAAAGCTCATTATTTGCAAATTTTAAACAGAAGTATCAAAGCTCATTGGGAAGAATCAATAAAACTAATACAAACAAATCAATCTGAATTTTTAAAAATTGTTACCGACTTACACGCAATATCTTCAGGCCTAAAAGGAACTATAACATGGTGGGGTAGTGAAATGCTTGAAAGATGTAGAAGATCTCTAGGCGGTCACGCTTATTCATCTTATAATGCTATAGGACCTGCTATTGGAGATTGGGGTGTTAATACTACCGGTAATTTTAAATCTCTAATTATTAAGTTAAATTTGTCTATGAATTTGTTTATCTTGATATGTTTAATTTTTGAATTAGGCGGTGGTGACAATAATGTACTTTTGCAACAAACAGCCGTAAATATGACAAAATTATTATTTGTAATACCTTTTATAATATTGTTGCAGCGATATCGAATTGTTATTTTTTTTAATTTTTTATAGAGATACCTGATGAGTTCATACAAAGAAATTATCCAAGGGAAACAACTTTCTGGATCTGTTGAATATTTTAACAACATCCAACAATTTTCAAAAATTGTTAAGAGCGATTTACTAAATGAAAAGCAATTATATGATCTTAAATACGATTTAAATATGTATACTTGGTTAATTATACAAAAGGTAATTTTTAACAATAATAATATTTGTAATATTTATTGAAAATTAAATTTTAACATTTCTAATAAATATCATATTGAAATCTTCAGTTACAATGTCTTTTCTCAATATTGGAACAATCTCGGGAGGACTCATCTGTAACATGGAACAATAATCAAATCTCTTTAATACGCCTTTCAGAACTTCATTCATTTAGATATTGTCTTTCTGAATATATTCAAGGCATTTCTAAATGCCAAAATGCAATTCCAGAATTCCAAAATTTATGTCCAATTCTTATAAAATTAGGACAATTATGGTCAATTCATTTAATATATGAGTCATTAAACGAATTTTTAGAAGAGGGTTATTTTGGAAAAGAACAAGCTATTATCGTAAGAAATGCTTATTTTGGAATGTGTAAAGAGTTAAGAAAAGAAATTATACCTTTGGTCGATGCATGGGGATATCCAGATTTTATTTTGCAAGCACCTTTTGGAAGATTTGATGGTGATGTTTATAAAGGTATATTTTTAAAATATGTCACCGACAGTGACAGTCGCCAGAGTGCTATCAAACAATTAAATCTAAAAATCACGCGTAACGTCAAAGGCGCAAAGTCCCATATATCAATATTTCGCCTAACCCTAATTGACAGTAAACTTTGGCGCGTTCTTGTTTTGAATCTACGTCACACGATTTGATTGGTCGATCACGCTCTGGTGGCAAGCACTTTTTCTTTTATATATTTTAAAAATGCAATCAGACCTCCCTAAACGCGATTTCCAATGCAAGCTATAACTCTGGCTCAAATATATGCTTAACTTTCATAAATTCAAAATTTTGTTTCTAAATGCGTTAAGGAGACTTGATCGTATTTATTATTTGTCTATTTATTTTGCTCATACGTATATTTTCAATTTAGAATATTTTAATACCGTTAGAGCTTCGCCAGATTGTATTGGAGTACCAAATTATTGGAAAGATTATATTAAACCATTTACCGATCTGTAATCTTAAAGATTGAATTTAAATAGATATGAACACAGCACTATACCCTTGACAAATAACCGAACATTAAAATTAAGATACAAAATTTAAATAATTTATAGGTTACTACATATTCATTTCTACATTGCAAATGTGGTATCATGTATTTAAAAGACTCATTTTTACAAATTTCAAAAATTTTTGTTGCATCTGAAGCAGGAGATTTTAGAATTTAAGTTAGAATTTATAATAAAAAGTTATAAATGGATTTTAGTAGGGTTCATTTTTAAATAGACTCCGACTTTTAATTTCAGCGACAATTCTTATTCGATTTTTTTTTTAAGTCACAATAAAATCTATAAAGCGAGACCTACAGTACTATATTACTATATTACTATATCCGTAGATCATTTAAACGTGGTCTATGTACTCGAAAATGTTTGTAAAAATGGGCCCTTTTAGTACAGGACATCCCGGATGTATGGTGGGAATTACAATTTAGTACATTACTAGTTTTAGTTCTTGTAGTTTTTTTTTATATTAGATCCCGGGTTTTTTTTTTTTTTTTAGTCAATGC